GCTGGGTTACAGCGCTGCGCTGGGATTTTAATGGGCGCTGACTACCCGTGAAAACAAAAATCGTGTTATCTTAGTCTAGACATCTATCGGAAACAGGGCGCTCTTTGTTGTTCTGTCTTTTATGAAGTCATTTATACAAGTAGAAAATTAACATAAACCATGAATACTTTTTTATGAAATGGGAAAATACCCTGGGAAGAAGGGAGGCTGAAAAGGCTTGGGGAAGCGGAGTGGATAATTAGCAATCGGCCACTCCCAGCGTGCCGCTGTGGCCAGAGGAGCTAATGCAGCGCTCAGCTGCGATACCCGGGCACGGAGCGGGAGCGGGAGGAGAGGGGACAAGAGAAGCCTCTGCTCCCCGGGGAACCCACTGCTCCCCGGGGAACCCTCTGCCCAGGTCTCATGCCCACACCTCCAGGATGCTGAACAACTGGAGAGGCCTCATGGGAGAGCCACGGGAGAGAACAAAACACGCTCTGTATTGAAAGAATAAAAGTGCTTCATCTGTTCATCAAAGAAAAGTGACGTGATCATAACCATAAAAAACTTCCTGGTAAAAAGAAATTTTATACAAGAGTGCTTTTCAGTTTAGCCAGCACGGGCGTAACAAGCTCCAAGGGCTGGACGCAGAGGCGGAACAGGTCAGTCTCGGAATGAGACGCATTTTTAATCATGAGGGTGGAGATGCACGGGTAGCCTGGCCTCATGAAGACAACAGGCGGCCAGACCAGGGACGGATCTTTTCATGCCTGCTTCTTTTCAGCATTATAGCCAACAGGTCTGCAGCAGAGGTTTTGCAAACGGCAGCTGCTCCGGGCGCTGCTCGCGTTCTGTTCCGCAGGCAAAGCCCAGTGTGCATCCAGCCCAGAACTTCCACACGAAAGAAGGACAAGGGTGGGGGCCCGCCCGTGAGCACTGCCTATACTACTGTGTTTGTGAAAACAATCAGAATTGGCCAGTAGCAATTCTACTGGGCAGGGTGCAGTTATTCTGGGCTTTAAGTCAGTAGCTTTGAAGCTCGTAAACAGGTTTTACACAGTTTTTAGAGAAGATAATAACCATGCAAGCTTCTCATACAAACATGCCTCGTAAAGAACCCGAAGCTTGGCTTTGGCGGGAAACTATTTCCGCATTTCTCCCCAGACACCCCTACCAGTACACTCAAATCCCGACCGAACACCAACACTCCTCGCTCAGTTCCCACAAGTGCCTCAGTTTTGCCTTAAAACATGCCACTGCTCTAACACGAAGCTTCCCATGAGCAGACTCAGTGGTGCCGAGTTATGTCGCTGCTGGATGATCCCAGCCCCCTTTATGCTCCTTACTTATCAGGACGCCTTAATAGGAAACCTTCCCAAGAGAGATTTTGTTAATCCCAGACAGTTCTGCACATTAATTTCTCTGTGGGTTAATAACTTCAGAACTTGCACCAAAATAGTAAGCTCTGTACTAGTAATTTTACAATAAAAGGTGGAAGTAGCATTCCTAACTTAGCAATATTCATAGCAGAGTTCAATACCGGAGCCTAAACACTAGCAGTAACACCACTTCTCACACGCCGCTTTCAGCATTTTACCTCCACCCTTTTTTGTAACGTATTTACAGAAGGGAGCTTTACTGAGACAGGTGTAATTCCTCGTCTCCAGCGTCCCCGCTACTATCGCCCCTGTGTCTGGGGTTATGGTTTGCTGCCGGTAATTTTAAGTGTAACATCAGACAGGTATATTCCGAGCACACTAAGGCAACGCTCTGTTTGAAACGATGGCAGCAGCTGTCAGCACAGAAGATTTCTGGCACCAAGAAAGCCGAACCAATGCTAGAAGCAATGGGGAAGGTCTGTGTTTTCACAGTGTATTGGTGTACGCTCGGAAAAGTCATTGCAGGGTGGAAGTCGGAGCAGCGCTGGATGGCTGTTCTGAGCTGGCAGCTGAACAGGCAGCTCAAGGACTACCTTGGCTCCGTCCTCTTGCCCCATATTCTCTGTCCTTCCTACGTGCAGCGTGGCAACCAATGACAGGAGGACTAAAACTGCACCGAAGACGCTACTGAAAGTAGGGCACCGTATCTTTCATATCGACCCGTTAACTGTAACTTATCTACAACTTCTCTTAGAAGCTAATTATTTTACACATTTAAATTAGG